CATCCAATGGATTGAACAGAACTATCCTTTGGGTGGAAATGAGGCCAATCTGAAGACACTTCTGGAGAAATGTGTGGAACAGTTCTACTCTCTGGAGGAATACCGAAACGATACGCGACTTTTGAGTGTATTCTTTAAATTTATCAAACGAGTGGACAGTCCTCTGGAAGTGTTTCAGTTCTTTCACGAGAACTCATTTGCCAAACAATTGTCTGAGTTTTACATCAATTGGAGCTTTCATTTGGAGAACACAAAGAACTGCCGCAAAGCGGCCGAAGTGTTGCGCTTAGGACTCACTCTAAACGCCGAACCGATGACTGCTCTGAAGGGAGCGCTCGAAGAACTGGAGACCAGAGTCGCCAAAGCCATCTTCAATGACAAAATGGATGAATTGAACGAAACTGATTCCGAAGACCACAATCTGAGGCATCCATTGAATAAACTGAAGGCAAAGACGAAAAGAGGACGAACGGAAGCACCGGTGAGTCGAGTCGGCAGCGCTCTTAAAACTAGCGCCAATGGCCTCAAGGGTTCCGGAATGGCATCAAATGGCGGACAGAGCTCTACGAAAACTGTTATTTATTGCGATGAAAACGATTCGACACTTGACGAGAAGGTTATCGCCGGTAGTCTTAAGCCAACTCTCAGTTCAAAGCATATGTTGAGTGTCGGGTCTGTCGGTCAGGAGAACGAACGAAAAGCCGGAAAATGGACTGAAAATCAATTAAAACTGAAACCAATTCTAAAAAGTGAGCCAAAGTTTAAGATCCATACCGACGACGACTCTGAGGAAGAGGACTGCGAACCCGTGAAGAAACCCTCGCAAAGCAATGCGCTTAAGGAAAGGTCGCGAACTGCGGACAGCCNCCAATTCTAAAAAGTGAGCCAAAGTTTAAGATCCATACCGACGACGACTCTGAGGAAGAGGACTGCGAACCCGTGAAGAAACCCTCGCAAAGCAATGCGCTTAAGGAAAGGTCGCGAACTGCGGACAGCCCTCCGATTGCCAAACGCTTTGAAAAGACAGACCTCTTAACGAAATTTTATTTCAATGAACACAAACTATACGCCGGCGGAGAAGAGTTCTCGTTTGAGGAGATAATGGCCCGCAAATGGGTGTTGAAGAAGAAACGGGTTCTCCTCCGGTAGGCATCGCGGTTTGAACGCCTTCTCCACCGTTGGGAAGCTGTTGTCCAGGTTGTCAACTAATAAAGCGTCGTTTTAAGCGTTGTTAACGGTTTGTTAACAGTTAGTTCACTATGTATATCCTCTCCAACAGGTGGTGAACAATAATGTTAGGCATAAATATTCATTATTTATTAGTTTTATAATAATTTTGTTCGTCAAATGTCTTTCACATAATTGTCGCACAAATCTCATTATTAATTGTGTTTTTCGATAATATTGTCAATAATTATCATCAAATTATGTAAACCGTATTTTACTATCAAATATTGTACCAATAATTGCAATAAAAGTAATATTGAATTTTGAAACTCCGACATAAGATTGTCATATCGTCCACTTGTGTTCACATCATTACATTGAATGACCAAAAATGTGGCCAATTATATGATTATTAACCACAATTCATTTAAGAAAAATGTGGTTTATAGGATCGTTAGGCCCCCTCCCCTCCACTCCCTCATATTTATTGCCAATTTTAACATCGAGTGGTTATTTAATTATTCAAATAGTTTTGAAAATACTGTTTATTTCAAAATAAATACAACGTTTAATGAAAATACAATTTTTATTAATTAAAAATAAATTCAATTAAAAATGTATATAAATTTGAATATAAAATATAAACTCATTTTTAAAATAAATTTTTTATAGAATAAAAGTAAATTAATTTATATATAAAAGAAATATATTAAATACCAGGCTAATAAATTTATTTAATAAAGGTAAGTTATTTTAGATACTTTATAAACAATGTTTTCATCAGTTATTATCATAATTTTATAGAGTTCTTAATCACATGTTATTTTCCACTATTCAAATCAATGATTGCATAAATAGCACAAAGTATTAGTGTATTAATTATTAATATAAGCATTGAAAATGTGTAAAAAGTGATGCATTTTTGTACACTTTATTATCAATTAAGTCACACTTCTTTCATAAACTTTTAAAAGACAAACTATAAATATAAAAATCATTATTACATGTTATGTTCAATAATCATATAGTGTTGCCAATGAATATTTGGGTTCAATAAATAATTTAAAGTTCGTTACAATGCAATCAAACGTTAAATTTATAAATAATAATCTAATTTAATGAGCGATTTATAAAATTGTTATGAAATGATAGCAAAACGTGTTATAAAAATGTTATTTCCGTTTAAAAAAACTCATGACTCCCTTCTTCTTATTATTCTTCTGGGAGTTTGGAATCTCTTCTTCGCTGGAAGTGTTGGTGATATTTGAGAGCGAGTTTTTCGCCGCGGAATACGTGGGCTCTAACGGGTCGACCGGTCGGGTGTTTGGTGGGAGACTCATATGTCGGGCCACCGGTATATTCTGGTATGTCGTTTGGGCTGTAATTCAATGTTTGTAACAATTAGTTTCATTCAATTTATGCATTCAAACACCGCATTGAAATTAATCCCAAAAAAGCATTCATTAATTGTTGAAAAAAATATTTAGAGTTAGGATTTGATATAACAGTTAGTTGTCGTGCAATACATTCGTGAATCAATAAATAGTAAGCAATCAAACATTCATTAAAGGGTTATGGAGTGCGAGAGGAATGCAAGTCATATATGAGACAATTGCGGACAACAGACCGTATCGAAGGTCTAAATGATGTGAAAGCCATTCGTCGGTCTCTGAATCGGTTTCATGAGTGGTATGAATGGTATGAGTGTTGGGAAAAGCATACATAGGATGTGTAATTGGTTTTGGAGGTAACATATGATTATAGGGCGGCCGAGGATTGTATGCACTATAGACTGCATTCTGTGGCGGATTCGACATTATATATGCGTTATAAGGGTTTAGCACTAAATCGTGAGACAAACAAAACATTTGCGACATAACTATTAAGCGGCCCTCAAATCGGCAAAAATGGCATTCAATAAACACTTACTTTCGTTGTTATGATTATTATTATGATTGCCGTTCGTATGCGTGGGTTCTCCTCGTTGTGGAAAACTTTGTCGCAATTGATTCCTTCTTTGGTGATCCACTTCTTCGAGTCGGGGGTCGAAGACATCACT